TAGCAGGTGTACATTAATGTACGTTATTACAGGTGTACAAGGTGTGTGAGTGCAGGTGTACAATGTACGTTATTACAGGTGTACAAGGTGTGTGAGTGCAGGTGTACAATGTACGTTATTACAGTTTACAAGGCTGTGTGAGTGCAGGTGTACAACATACGTGAGAAAGGTGTACAAGGTGCACGAGTTATTGCATGTATGACAAGAATTTATGCACTTACATGACTGTGTTACTATGGGTAGTTACAGGACTACGTTACCATGTCACATATCTGGTTACAGGATGCGCTGACGCTACAGAAAGTGTTGCTGAGTAAGAAGGCAGAGCTGGTAGTGGACGACAGCGGCATACCGGACGTGCGAGCCGCAGTGCAGGAGCTGCTCACAAACATATACCGTGTCCGTCATCAACCACAGGTGTGCCACCGTCACCGCCTTCGCCGCCGCGTCACGCACGCTCCCATCCTCCCGCACGTTCCCCCCCCCGCCACCCCCACCCTCGTCACCACCCCCGCTGCCGCGTCCCGCACGCTCGCCACCCCCCACGTAAGCCCACCCCCCAATCTTCATCACCACCCCCGCCGCCGCATCACGTGCGCTCCCACCTACCACTCCTTCCCCCGTGTTACGGACGCATCCTTTGTTAACTGCGAGGCTTGTGTTATTTACGTCATGTACATTATTTCATCGCTCGTCGAGGCGCACCTGCTAAGACTTTTGCTAATGTCATCCTAACGACTACGAAGTGGAACTGCTTCCGTTAATTGCTCGAGAAAACATCATGACACGATGTAGTGTATGTGACACGGCAGTGGATCTCGACGCGGAAACCTGTTTGTGTTACGACTTGAACGGGTTCAGTGTAATATAGAATCGCGGTGGGAAATCGAGATCCCGTTGGATCGAGGTTTCCCGTCGGGCTCTACGATGGAGATTCGATGCTAGAGCGGTTTAAAGCATTCACACCCGACCTACGTTCGTCTGTTCGCAGAATGAGAACGGCCGTTGCTACAGCGATTCTCTGCAAGGTCTTCCATCGCTAGATCCGGATCAGGAATCTGGGAGCAACAAGGAGAAACAGTAAGCGTGAGGTCATCGTGCTCTAATCTGCTAATCACTCTGCAGGGAACAGGATGTTACAGCAAACAATTACAATAAAGATAATAATAATAATATTATTATTATTGTTGTTGTTGTTGTTGTTATTTGTTATGATTTTAATTGTTATTGTTACAATAAAAATAATAATATAATGTAATAATAACAATACGATTAGTTTTCATAGTTATGGTAATCTTTCCGGCACAGCGGCCACCGTGCGTGCGAATGTTCCGACCCATGAACTTCCTACCACGTCGTTCCATCGCGTGTTGTTCGCAGGCGCCTGCTCAATCTGGAGATCATCAAGAAGAACCTGGACCGCGGCTGCTACCGGCGTCTCGATGTGTTCCAGGACGACATGTTTGCGGTGTTCGCGCGCGGACGCGCTCTCAACAACATCGACTCAGAGGTGATCGTCTCCCTCCTTACCTAGAGAGTGAGAGGGGGAGATATATAAGGGGGGAGGGCAAGGGGAAGGGAGAGAGACAGCGAGATAAAGGAGGAAGAGAGAGAGACAGAGAGATAAGGGAGGAAGAGAGAGATAGATAAGGTGGGGAAGCGAGACAGACGGAGAGAGAGTGCGAGAGAAAGAGAGATAGATAGATAGAGAGAGAGAGAGAGCGAGAGACCGAGAGCAAGAGAGAGAGAGAGAGAGAATGTGTGTAGCATTGATATACGAGCTAACGTTGTTTCTCGTGCGCATGCATTATTGCTGTAGATCTTTGAGGATGCGATGGAGCTACAGCAGTTCTTCATGCGCGTGCGAGACAAGCTGTGTAAGAGTGGCGACGTGCTCCAGTCTCCCGCGCTCAACATCACGGAGGTGCATTTCCAGGTACGAGCCTCGCGCCATCGGCGTCAGTCTAAACGACATGGTGCTCTCCGAATAAATATACTCGTAATTAAAATAAATTTTAATTTAGATAGTTGGATTATTAAAATTGCAAAATTTTCCTTCTGTTCAAATTTTACTTTTTTCCGAGGCTGCGTTTGGTTTAGTAGCACGAATTAACGGAAGGTTTCGATTACAAATGAACTGGGATTATAACACTGGGATTCTTGGTGGGGAATCGAGGCGCGTTTCCGTCTCGCCATCTCGCTAGTCTGCCGAGTCGCGTAACTATGACTCTTCGTCGTATTGTCGTTGACTCTTCTGATGCATATCTTGCAGCGAATCATTCAGGAAGAGAAGGATAAGAAGAAGATGCAGGAACCGGAGCAGGACGTGAAGGAGGAGGAGGACATGACTGAGAAGGTGAAAGACGAGGCTATCAAAGTGGTGAGCATTCGTGCATAATGTACATCCCGCCATCAGTCCTACAGCGTTAACGCGCAATAACGTATAATACACATAATTATCCATTAAGCAAATATTTATCGATTAGCCGAACAGTGAAGTCGCGGTCTCGGTGGTTTGGTCAGGCTACAGCGAGTCAAACATATTAAACCGATGCAGTATCATGCATATTTACACTAATTAACATGGATTAACCCTAATAAAATCGTATTAAACCTATGTGGTGTCACGCGTATTTACACTATTTCACATGTATTAACCCTAATAAAATCGTATTAAACCTATGTGGTGTCACGCGTATTTACACTATTTCACATGTATTAAACCTATTAAAAAGTATTAAACCTATGCGGTATCATACGTATTTACACTATTTAACATGTATTAAACCTATTAAAAAGTATTAAACCTATGCGGTATCATGCGTATTTACACTATTTCACATGTATTAAACCTATTAAAAAGTATTAAACCTATGCGGTATCATGCGTATTTCACTATTTAAAAAGTATTAAACCTATGCGGTATCATACGTATTTACACTATTTAACATGTTGTATTAAACCTATGCAGTAGCATGCGTATTAACTATTTACACTATTTAACATGTATTAAACCTATTAAAACGTATAAAACCTATGTGATATCATGCGTATTTACACTATTTAAAATGACTATTGCGAGATTTTTGCTCAGAAAAACTAAATATAGCTGAATATAATCCCACTTGACAGCGAAAATATCACTGATTACACCAACATTAAAAATACTAAGATTTTATGCAGTTATAGCATAGAAAATTGGATATGAACACATCGTAACAGCAATGCATTTTATCGTGTCGCGACAATGCCTAATGGCAGAATTGGTAAACTTGTATTTGTGTCGGTGATGAATTGAAAACAAGTGCGTGCCTGCACCACCCTGCACTGTGGGTATGGCAGATAAGGGGTGGTGCCACAAGCTAATCCATACTTCCTGTTAGTTCAAGATGACAGAAAACGAATGTTTACAAAAACGATTAGTTCGAAACTGGCAGTTTTCGGTGGATACGAAGGTTCTAAGACCTTATGAGATTTTATTGTTACTCTAGACAATTGCTGTTACTCAATCAATAATGGTAGGTATCATGAAAGTGGGGAAACACTGGAAAATTCTCGCAATAATCGCTTTAACATATTTTAAATGTGAAATATTTTTAACATATTTAACGTGTGTTTTCTGCAGGAGGAGGGTTTGGAGAGCCTCACTCTGCGCGACCAGACGTACCGCGTCGGCGACTTTGTCTACGTGGAGCCGCGCGAGGCCGACCTCGAACCTCACATCGTCTCTATCGAGAAGCTGTGGATGGACGTGGAGGGCGAGCGCTATATTTATGGCGCGTGGCACTACCGGCCGCAGGAGACCTACCACCTCACCACCCGCAAGTTCCTAGAGAAGGTAGTACGTGTGTGTGTGTGTGTGGGGAGTGTGGGTGTGTGTGCATGCATGTGTCGGGTGTGCGTGCGTGTGTGAGGTGAGTGTGCGTGGGTGCATGCCTGCGTGCGTGCGTGCGTGCGTGCGTGCGTGCGTCTATGTGAGTGTGCATTCATGTTTGTGAATTTCTGTATATCTGTATCAGGGAGTATATATATATGCGTGGTCAGCTAGGTGAATGCTGGGACAGTACGTCATTAATTCATTTAGATAATTAACATAAGCTGTATCAATCATCTCTGATACATCACGTACATTTTTCGCTGCACAACCGATTCTCGATCTGCGCGCCATTAGTCTTTATGCCTTACAATGCCATCTTTTTCCATCCCAGTGAGTAATGCACGCCGTCTATATTTGTCGAGCTACAGACGTTTGCTTTTGCCTGTAGGAAGTGTTTAGGAGCGACTACCAGGCCAAGCGACCGCTGGGAAGCGTACTGGGCAAGTGTCACGTCATGTTCGTCAAGAACTACTTCACCAGCCGGCCGGAGGTGAGCGTTGTCCGTCGCCGCGGTAACGAGTTGGACGGACGCGAGCGCGGTAGTCGTTGCCTGACGCTAGTTTCGTGGCGTGCTTGTACATGAACAACTAGTAGTTTGACAGTAGTCTCCTAGCATGCTTGCCTATAAATGAAGTTTAACCTATATATACCTAATCTATTTGACTATATAAACGACCCTGGAGTCGGTTTCGTGGCGTGCTTCTATATTAACGAGTGGTTAACTCATACACACGTACATTACCCATGCACAGTCTGACGCTACATTCGTGCCCGTATATTAACAAAGGATTAACCTATACACGAGTATATAAACAACCCATGGTCTAACACTAGACTCGTGATCGTATATTAACTCGTATATAAACGAGGGGTAAATCTATACACGTGTACGTGACCCGCCTCGCAGGGCTTCCAAGACAAGGACGTGTTCGTCTGCGAGTCACGCTACAGCGTCAAGAGCCGCAGCTTCAAGCCAATCAAGAAGTGGCAAGCGCCCGTCAATCCGCACGTTGTCGTCGTCGCCCGCGACTGCCCCCTGGTGCCGACGCGCGTCCCGTCCGTCTTCGCTCCGAAGAAGGCCTACGACGCGAGCGGCTTCCACGGAGAGTTCATGATCATCGACAAGGACCGGCCGGTAGGTGGCGCCAGTGTAGCAGGGGAGTGCGAGGGGGTGCGGTGTGCGAACCCTCCTGGCATATGTTTCCGTCTAATACTACTTTGCAAAAAAAAGGTCAAATCCAGGTTTAAAAAGACACGTGGCTAAATAACAACGAATACCTACAAGAAATAATTTGTGTTAGAAAAATTCATGTAAAAATTTTAGATCATGTAAGAGTTTTCATAAAAATAAATTTATTAACAAATTCATGTAAGAGTTCTGACGGTATGTGGCTAAACAGCAACGAGGAATTCCTATAGGAAACAATTTGTGTTTAATTAGAATTCGCGTCAAGATTTCAGATCGTGTAAGAATTCGAGTCTTTTCCTTCTCTTCCGCAATTCGAAAGTCTCGCCGCATCCGTCATCGTCGACGGTAACAATGATCGTGCGCTCGTTTCGTTGCAGAACGTGTCGTGCAACGTTGCGAACCCGGACGAGGGTTGCAGCTACTACGACCAGTACAACATTCCGCTGGGCACGTTCAAGCTGGGCGACTGCGTGTACGTGCGCTCGGAGAGCGAGCGACCCTACATCGCACGCATAGACCGCATGTGGACCGACCAGAGGTGAGGTCGCTGCTGCCTCCTGATATATATATATATATATTATTATTATA